GCTTGGTTGCCTCCCACATGACCCCGACCAGGGCCGGGCATCAAACATGCTCTTGACCAGGAATCAAGCCCAAGACCCTTCATTCCAAGGGCTGAGGCTCCAACCACTTAGAAACTGGCCCGGGCAGGTTGCTCTGATTATTCAGTGATTTCTGTGACCAGTCCTGAATCCACCATTGTTGTTCAAACCCGGCAGTATTGTGTTTGCAATGAAGTAAAATTGAGAATTAGAAAGCATTTTATTATTTTTTTTACTTTTTTTTTTTTATCCTCACCCGAGGACATTTTTCCATTTTTTGTACAGATAGAGTGGGAGGGAGAGAGAGGAAGAGAGAGAGAGAAACATCGATGTGAAAGGGACACATCGAGTGGCTGCCACCCGCACGACCAACCAGGGCCGGGGACAAACTGCAACCGAAATACGTGCCCTTAGCGGGAACCGAACCCGGGTCTCTCCGGACGTAGACGGACGCTCCAACCGCTGAGCCAAACCGGCCAGGGCGAAAGCATTTTATTTTTTAAATGTTATTTTATTTACTTATTTTTTCCATCACCATTTATTCCCTCCAAGGTCCTTCCCATCCCCACCCCCACCATCCCACAACCGGGAAGTAAGAGCTCAGGAGTTTTACAGTCCTCAATATCCTTCCAACGGAAATGGCACAGTCCTCTGAGTTCAACTTAGGTTATGTCAACATTAAAGCCTACTTGCAGAGGCTTTGGTTCTGATTTTCATCGTCTCCGATGGTCCTCCTGGTACTAACACACAGAACAGTCAGTCCTCGGCTTTCGCTTTCTAGTCCAGGTCCCTCACCACGGGCTTCTCCTGGCTCCTCCGTGGGTATGCTGAGTTCTGCCCACAGAGTCCAAGACTGTGATCTGCGTTTAGAGGTGGGCCGACCTTGGGCTAAACTCTCATCTGGGCATGTGGGAGTCACACTGGCTAGTCTGTCCCCCACTTCCAAGACCTTCGTGCCCAGGCTGGCTCCCTGGGCTTGCAACCCACGCAGCTCGAAGGGCCAGCACGCAGAGGATCCCTACTCGCTTCAGGCTCACTGTTGCCACCTTGAATTTCTCAATTTTATGTTTGGAGTTCTGTTTTGAAAGCAAAACCTGATGGGAAAATGAAGCGTACCCGTGAACAGAGGAAATAGGCATGGAAAAGGTCACCCCATTTGCACACAGTGTTCATGTTGCCCTGTGAACTCGAAATTCAGGCGAGTCTAAGGTGTGTGGGAGTTCAGTAACTCCAGGCAACAGTGATTACAAGGTTCGTGCATCATGTCCGTGACCCAGTACCAGCTCTGAGAAGTCACGCTGTTCCTTTGAACCAGAACTTGCTACCGACACAAAAAGCAACGTAAGTGCCCAAGAAACACCGTCAGACAGACCTTTCTTACTGTTACTTCCCTGCATTAACCATCTCCTTACGCTGAAACTAATGACAAAGAAGGAAACAAAAGGATAAGAGAACCCACTCACAGTCCCCTCTCTTTCTTTCTTTTTTTTAAATCCTCACCAGAGGACATTTTTGCATTCATCTTCAGATAGAGCAGGAGAGAGAGAGGAAGGAAGAGAGAGAGAGAAACATCAGTGTGAGAGAGACACATCGAGTGGCTGCCACCCACATGACCCCAACTGGGGCCGGGGACAATCTGCAACCAGGGTACGTGCCCTTAGCGGGAACTGAACCCGGGTCTCTCAGGTCTGTGGGCCGCCGCTCTAACCGCAGAGCCAAACCGGCCAGGGCGTCCCCCTCCTTCTTTACGCACCGGTAAAGCAGGGTGTCCTGCAGGAGGCGGCGGTGGCAGGAAGTGAATGCAACAGCGAGTCAGCTGGTGCAGGGTCTCCACTGGTCTGGCAGGCGTGAAGGACACGGGCATGTCGAGCTGTGAAATGCAAATGGTGTGATGCCCGCGATTCCACTTGTGAGTAAAAGATTAGTGGTAAAATTCAAGCGACCACTTCAAATGTCCATTTTTCTTTCTTTACAACATCAAACAGCTGATAAGATACATCCGAATGCGGAGCGATTACAGAAAGAGCAAAGGAAGTCCGCCCTTGATGTCCGGAATGGCACGCTTTCCGGCTTTGTGAAAAGTGGAATTTTACTTTGCCCTGGGCTTCACCAATGATCTAGCCAGCCATGCCTCTTCCGGAACTGCCTTCACTATAGAAGCTGATAGAACCGTACACAGATTTCCCAACCCCCCTCACACCTAGCACTGACCCCGAGACATAGCTGCAGTCTACTGGGAACCCTCGGGAGAAATGCCCAGTGCGAGGAGAAGACACTGAACTGTACTGTGTTCCCCTTTTCTGCCTCCTTGTGTGGTGCTATGCAGCCATTTTGTGACCATTAGGAGCCAAAAGGCTACAAAAGTGGGAGTGAAAAGCTAGGAAAAAGTCTGTGTCCTTGAGAGCCTTGTTGAGCTCGAACCAGCAGCCATTAACCTCGATTTTTATGTGAGAAGAATTCCCTGCTACTGGTTTCAGGCACGGTGAGCCTTTCCGTCAATGTAGTCCATTTTTCCTAACACGCCAGCTGTCCAGGGTCTTTCACCGAACGAGGACAAGTCCTCCTGCCTCTGGCCCCGTGGCTTCCACCATCAAGGCTCTAAACCAGTCTCTCAGGGAGGAAGGCAGGGAGGCAAATGTCCTCTCAACTCTCCCAGGTCATATCCAACCCTAACACGAGGTTCTGTGATGATCAATCCGTGTGAGCAGTACCAGGTGGGGGCGGCCTCGGGCACCTCAGAAACACCCACAGCTGAGCTGCGGCTCATCAGGGCGCCGTGTCCTTTTAGAATGGCAGTCACTTCCCTGTCTTACAGAGAAGGCAAAATAATGGTGATTGAAGTCAACCAGATGGAAAGGGAATCGGCAGACGCGTTCATGACTAACATCACGAGGGACACTGGTCATGAACACTTTCAGGAAGGGTTGCTTTCCTCTTCCTTTTCAACCGCCTCATCTCCAGGCAGCAGAGGCCCGGCTCTGTGCCACTGAGTAGCTCATACTGTCATCTTCCAGAGATGTCCTATTTCAGCACGCGGGGGAGGGTCAGTGATCAAGTACACAGTTCGAGAGAAGTAGGAGCAAACAGGAGCCCGGTCCCTCACTGGGTCACTCGACACGGGGCTGGTGCTTGTCCACCAGCATTGCTGCCGTCAGGACACGTCAATGGGCTGCGGCAGGGACACAGCCCTGCGTGTGCTCCTGTCTGGCCTATCAACTCAGAGCATGAGTCTTGGTTATTTTTAATTGCAGGGAACTAGTTCAAACCTCTTCCAGTAGGAATTTGGTGTTTTAGTGTTTAGCAATTTCCCCCAGTGATAAGAGCTTAAATATTTGCCAGGGACTTTTGGGGAGCTCCTATCTCTGACCGGAAGACTTTGTATGGGACCTTTCTGGGAATGTGGGTCAGAGTCCACCGACTCCCGAGGTCGCGAAGTGCTCCCCCTGCCTTCAGCAAAGGGAAGGCAGCTGTGCTCTCTGGCTCTCTGGACACCGCAGTTCACATTCTGATGGAAGGGTTGAAATCACTGACGGAAAAGATGTCCCTCCCACAACGCAGTGTCACAGTCAAACACCACGGCAGCCTGAAGCGGCAGCGTGGATTGCGGCCACGTTGACGCGACTGCCGTTCTGGGTGCGATGCAGCAGGGCGGCCGTGTCTGCAGAACGGAGTCATGTTGTGTGAACGCAAAGCACCTCGCGGTGCAAGATTGTCTTGAGAAAACCAGCAGCTCCTCTCTTTGTATTGCCTTTATGTGAGAAATTTGGGCGTGTTCTGCCGGCTCAGGTTCAGCTTTTAGCTGAGGCCTCTCTGATGCCTCACTGAAGCCCTCTTCCTGGTGGAACAGGGTTCCCCTAAAAGCTGAACTTCAGGCACACAGCTGTGAGCAGCACCTGTGACTAAAGAGACGATAAAGAAGAGGCCTGTTTCCACTCTGCTGGGACATTCCCTCTGCTTGGTCAACAGTGCTTCCGACTATGCTGAAGCCAATGCCTTCCCCTCGGACACAGGAGCAAGGGTGGACCTCTGGCACGGTCTTACAGATTAAGCCACCTGGAAATGGCTCCCAGCTCAGCCGGTTAGACACACTGCAGAGCCCCTGGGTGTGCCAGGTAATTTGCGTGACCCCTTTTTATCAGCATCGGCAACCTTCTCCATCTGTGGCTTCAAGGAAGCTGCTTTTGTGTGGAGTGTGTTTCTCTACATTCTACTCACTGTTGTCAGAAAGAGACCAAACATTTCAGGTAAGGGGAAAGGTAAGACAGTAAGATGGAACATTCTGTAGCAGTAACCAGCAATCGGTGACACCCCTGCCACCAACGCCAAGTTTGTCTTATTCTTAGAGAAGTCAAGCGTAAGACTTGACTAAGACTTCTGGACCCAAGCAAGGCCTGCCTGGGGGTCACCTTCCTCATACATCTAGGTCTTCTTGAAAAGAATGAGAGCCTCGAACTTTTATACAAGGGAGTGTTTTTAAGTGCCCCAGTGCTAAAGATGTCTGATCCCCTGCCAGCCCACCTCCTACAGAACCTCTCCAATGGCCTGCACTGGCCTGGGCCAGTCCACGGCTGTGTCTTGGAGAGGTCAAACACGAACAAGAGTAGGACAATGGTAAAAGGAGTGTACCAAGAGTTCACTATTGAGTGATTTTTATTCCTGAGGTCAGTTGAGGTTGCTCCAACCCAGGTACCTGGCTTGTCCACCGGACCCCCATTTAACTCCCAGGAAGGGGGGATGTAGGTGTGAAAGAGGAGAAAAGGCATTGAAAGATGTCAGACGATAATTTACCTGTGGCCCTATTTAATGCATTTCCACTGTCTCTTCATCTTTGTGACTATCCATATTGTATCATAGCTAACCTTTCCTTGCCTTAGACAGGTGTACCTTGGCCCTAACACGTCAACACAAAACAGGGTTATATATTAGAAAACTGATGGTAACACATGAGATGCTGCCATTCCAGTTTATTGAAATGAGTAAATTTATAGCTTTATTTGCATACAGAAAAGTGCACAAGGAAACAAGTATGTATAAAACAATTGTGTGGCTGATCATCACTTTTAAAAATTTTTCTACTTTCAAAAATTCAACTACCTAGAAATAATTACCTCCAGTTTAGCACATTTAGGTATTTGGACATACAAAATACTGTTTCAAGTCTGTGTTGATGATGACAGAGTAGAAAGCCAGATGGAAAATTATGCCAAATAGAATGAGCTGTTACCATGAAACATAAAACCACAGGACTTCAGCTTGGACTGGTTGGGGCTAATCAACAGAGGTTCACCATCTTCGTTAGTCACCCTCTTCTTCCACCTAAAGGTTACGTTATACGGTTGGTTGATTAACACCCACAAGAACCTGAGCATTAGGGGTCAAGGGACAACATTAAAAACCCGACATAAACAAACAAAACTCATTCTGGCAAGAACAAACCCTTCAGAACTGTACTAACAATAGGACCGACAATGTACCAGGAACGTTTCCAAGGTTATGAAGAGAAAAAATATTTCAGACATTAGATGTTCAAGGGTAGAAGCAAATAACTGTTCTGCAGTTTTGTTTCGTTTTCCTATTTATCTGCCAGCTAACTATGAGATTGTGGCTTCCCGGAAGTTTTCCAGTTACTTGATCGAGGTCCAGCATGACCCCAAATCAGCACCTAGCGTGTTCGGCACGACCATCTCTGACGGGGTGATATGTGGTTCTTCACCGCTGAGTCGGGGCAGGTTTTCTTCGACAGCCGCCTCTCTGCTGGAACTTCAGCCCAAGGATGGTGCCCTAGTCCACAGGAAGCATAAAAGCTGTCCCATTTGCAATTCCAGTTACTGGGATTAGCATTGCTGAGAAGGTGGCGAGAGTTCAGGTCTGTGAATCATTAGATATTTGCCCCATAAAAGTCCACGTCTTGTGAAAGGGAGGCGAGAGCACATGAACCCGGAAGCAAAACTGACGGGAAAGAAAATCCGAGGGAAAAGGGAGCAGAGACATGAGGTGTTTCCCTCCAGGAGCCAGCACGCTGGAGAAAGAACACCTGTGCCCTTGAGAACAGAACCATCTTCAGAAAGAGGAGAAGTCCTAGCTTTCCAAAGGTTCTTGGGTGTGTCGGGCTCCAAAGTGCCTATGGAGAAGTTGGACTCGCTTCCATTTGACTTTGGAAGGGATGGTCTAACGCAAGATTTCAGACGGTGCCTTGCTCTACTAGAAAGTTTAGGTTTTATGCTCTGAAACGGAACCCCACACATGAACAGTAAAGATTTTAACATTCATTCAAAGCAGTCTGATCTGAGGGGTTGTGGTGGTGCACCGCCCAACCAGAGGGTACATGGTAGAATGTTCTAGAAAGTTTTAGGGACACAGTAGGCAGGGGTTCAGGTAGGGAAACTACTTCATTCATATTTAAGCTAGAGAGTGTAGGTTCTTAATTTATTTAAAGCCATAGATTCAGTTTAGCTTTAACCTAAACAGAAAGTGAGAGACATTTTATAAGAGGCAGCAAGGAATAAGGCAGCAGATAATATGTCAAAGCCGAAACAAGAACAGAAGTCAGGACTCCATCTGCTATCAGCTTTGTCCTTGACGACTAAGGCCAACCTTTCTGTTCCTCTGCATAGCCAGCAAGCCAAGTTCCTAGAGAAGCATGGAGAAGGATACAACCTATGGTTAGAATCTTTGGATTGAATATCAATGTATTAAATATCAAGTCATTATTTAAAATGTCAGCGATAGTATCTCCTAGGGCTGATGCAAGGAGATTCAATAAGATAATAAATGTAGAACCTGTAATAAAGCAACCAACACGAGTGATCAATAACGTTGGCTACTCTCTCCCATGGTATTTCCCCTGCTTCCTTCGTGACCTACAGAACACAGGGCCCCCAAAGAGAACTCTAGTCAATTCACTTCAGTGCACACAAGCCTCCCACACTCCTAGCGTAGTTCATTTTGTTCTATTTGCTCAGTGCCTCCCCTGGAGAGGAGGGTGAGAATAAGTTTCTGCTAAGACTTCTAGCCCTTCCATTTATTACAGTGTCTTATTAGCACGAGAAATCACCTGGACACCGGATGAAAATCAAGCTTCTCTTCTCAGCACTAGACGGATCTTTTAGGGCTGGGGTGGGGCCCTGGGATTTGCCTTTTTGATAATCTCACCCAGTTCTCTGAAGCAGATTTTATGAAAAAGCACTTCAAGAAACACAGTAGCTGCAGAAATGGATGGAGGGGAAATGAGCCAAATGGCAAATAAACTCAATATTACTGTTGTCAGATTGGAGATGGTTCTTTTTACTGTTTCTGTTGTTCTCCCCAACCAGCGATGCCCCCTCCTCTAACATGCAGACAAGTCTCCTTTCCTCCACTATCTGCAACCTTTGGCTTCAAAGTTGCTTCCACTCCTGTTGAGAAAGGGCCCTGCGGAGCCCTCCCAGTGGCCCAGCCTCGGGTAGCTGCACCAGTAGCTCCCGCAGGGTGAAACCCACCGGCAGGAAGAGTCAACCTGAGATTCTTCTGCACTTGACGCTGCCTTTGAAGGAGGTATTATTGGCAACGCTACCACTTTGGGATTTCATGCCGTCAGACTGTTTCAGACTAACTTGGAAGGCCCTCACAAAGAAATCAGTACTAATCTGGGAGGGACAAGTGTTAAGATCACCATCTGTTTAGCTGACCTATTTGGTGGCTTCAGAAGGTCCACAGATTTTGAACCTTCTAGAGCAGTGATTTTTCAACCTGTGTGCTGCAAGAATTTATAAAACATGCAGTACCTGACTATTTAGTCAGGGGCACTGACCTCTTCTCCCTTAGATTGTCACATGAAGAAATGACAGCAGCCAACACAACAACAGCTGTCTGGTGTGAATGAATCATAATTATACATATTTTTTAATTTAATCAAAATCACCTATATTTTTTTGTCAGATAGGCAAAAATATATATTTTCGTGTGCTACAGGAGTTTAGTAATTAGTTTATGTGTGCCATGAGATTAAAAAAGTTGAAAATCACTGTTCTGTAGGAACCAAGAAATTACCAGGATGCTTTGCAATCTCGTAAATGTGAAGGTTAAAAAAAAAAAGAATACACTTGAAAGCTGTATGTGTTATGTTGTGTTTACTTCCATACAGAACTGAAAAACAAAAACAAAAACAACCCCAGGATATGATAGAAATCTATATGCCTAGCAGTCTACTACTATTTTTTTTTTTTTAGAAATCCTCACCCGAGGATATTTTTCCATTTATCTTCAGCTAGAGTGGGAGGGAGGGAGGAAGAGAGAGAAACATCGATGTGAGAGAGACACATCGATTGGTTGTTTCCCACATGACCCCTACGGGGCAGGGGAAAGAACTGCAGCCAAAGTACATGCCCTTGACTGGAATCGAACCCGTGACTCTTTGGTCCTCAGGCTGATGCTCCAGCTGCTGAGCCAAACTGGCCAGAGCTATTACTATTTTTGATATATATAAAAATTATATTCTTAAATGCCTAGGCTAGTCATTATCAAAGTAGCTAAGTGTAGATTTCCCCGTTTATTACTTCTAAATGACAGAGATTTAACCTCCCCCAATTCTAAAATTAAAGTGCCCCCCTCACCCGCTGTACCACACTACTTACAGAAGTTAGGCAAAAGGACTTCCAAAAGGATCCCTATATATATCAGGAGATGCAGGCTGAGGAGAAGACATCTATGGAGATACAACCAACCAGTCAATAAGTATAATTATAAAAAAAAAAACAAAAAAAACGCTTATCATAAAACAAACAAACTTATACGTAAGACTTCTCTAATTTCTTTAAAAATCACTTAGGTCCCAGAAGGCTCTACAATGACTTGTGTTTCCCAGCATGTAAATGGTGGTGTATATTTATTATTTCCATTAAAACCAAGGTTCAGGTAAATGATGTTTGCCTCCCCAGAATGGGAAATATTATTTTTATGAGCTAAAGAATCATGGGTGGGCAATCAGGAACTTAAACCTTTGAAAGCTTTATTTCTTAAGATAGTATTGCGGTTTGATTTTCTCCCAAAATGCTTTCATAAGCCAGGTTCAGTGAGATACACAGGGCTTTAAGCTACACGACATTCATTTCTCAGGTTCAGAACAGGCATCCCTGCGAAGTTATCTTCCCCCAGTTGGAGTGGATGTTTACACCGAGCTGGTTCTCAACGACAGATCTTATTCAAAGGTCCTCTACCGTCCAGGAGTCCTGACGCCTACCCGCAAAGCTCCCTGAGGAGGCGGGAGACCCGGCTCGTACTGGGACTAGCATCTTGTAGCAGTGGATACTTACAGAGGCTTGAGATGAACTGAAAGAGTTTTTAGGGTTCTCAAATGCATTGTCAGAAGATTTGGTAACTGGCGGGGCACCTTGTCTGGGAGCTGGCTTTGGTGGTTCTGGAAGGTGAGAAACCCGAGTGGTCAGGAGACAAGCTCTCCCCAAATATAGGCAGAAGTCCCCGGTCAGGCTTATCTTAGAAAGTAAGTTCTGTACTTTGGAAATTAACATTAATGGGACAAAAATCACCACCACCAAATCCTAGGACTCCCGATTATTACAGGCACATTCATCCCATCTCAGAGGAGGATGCCATGCATAGTTATCGACTTGAAGTGGAAGAGAGTCAGAATTCCCTCCCCGAAGGCGGTGGAGCCTGGTTGAGGCTTTATTATAAGGCCTCCAGGTGCCCTGGCCCGGCCCATGTCAACAGCCCTTGGCAGCCCTTCTAAGATTTGCCACCAGAGGGCAGCATAGGGCCAGCCCTTAGAAAGAGCTAAGGAATAGCTTCTCAAGGTAAATGGTTTTCTACAAACCCACTGATTACAAAAAAAAAAAAAAAAAAAAAAGCAAGAGTAAGGCTATTGATGGATGGGAGAGGGTTCCTCGGAGGGCCCCCCTCTGTGGGCCCCAGGACAGTGGAAATGCTTGTTGGTATGGTGGACAGAGACGTGGGCAGCTCACCGTTGATCTTCTTCAACAGCTGGTTGGCATCGAAGTCGTCGTGGTCTGCGGTCTCCTGGGGAATGCCCACTTTGCTGTTGAAGTAGCTGGAGAAGGCACTGGAAGTGCCCGGGGAAGCCTGGTCTCCCTTCCTCGCGGGCACCACCGGAGGCTGCCGCAGCTGTAAGTCCTTAAACATCTCCTTCACTTCCTTGACTTCTTTATCCCCCAGCGGGTCCAAGGCAACGAAGGCGTCGGTGGAGGTGTCCTTCGGAGGCCCAGTTCGGGGCGGGGGCTGCGGGGGAGTGACCAGGAGAGAGGAGAGCATGGGAGGGGGCTGGGCAGACACAGCCGGAGCTGGGAAAATATTGCTCTGGAAAGGGTTGCCCAGGGGGCTCGCTGATGACCAAGTATTGGCTGACACGGATGCTGAGGGGCCCCACACGACAGGGGCTGCCGGGGACGCTGAGGCTGCAAAGGATGAAGGCTGGTTCCAACCTGCCACCGCTGGGCTTGTGGTGAAAACCACCGGCTGGCCGAACCCTGCAGGCTGACCCCCCATCAAGGCTCCTGGGACCATTGCAGAGGGCTGACCGAACACGAGGGCGGGCGGGCTCCACGGGCCCGCCTGGGGCGGTGTGACTGGTGCGCCACCTGGAGGGAGCGAAGGAAACGACATCTCAGGAGACAAGCTTGCAGAGGATTTTTGAGTTTCAGGAAACACAAGGCAACTGGAAGCTTTTCTATAGCATCTGTGGCAAAGGCCTCCATTCAGCATTGAGGCCTCCGGGCAAACGAAGGCTCAGGTCACTGACCCCAGGGCAGGACAGCCGGCACTCAAAGGCAGATTGCATGCTGAAGCTCTTTCTGCACCGGTTTTCCTCATGCAGAGGGTGATACAGTCCCTCAGTACCTGGTCATGAAAAAACACTGGCCCTTATCTTGCATACACTGATGTATGTTTTTTTAACTCCTCACCTGAGGATATTTTGCCGTTTATTTTCAGATAGAGTGGAAGGGAGGGGGAAAGAGAGAGAAACATCAATGCGAGAGGGACACATTGACTGGTTGCCTCTCGCACGACCCCGATCAGAGGAGGACAAACCACAACCAAGGAATGTGCCCTTGACCGGAATGACTGGGATTCTTTGGTCCACAGGCCAAACCAGCCAGGGTGCGCTGATGTATTTTACACAGCAGAACTGAGCCCTTCAGTACGATAAACTTATTTGTTGAGTGAATCATCTACATATACAAACCATGCTGATTATGAAGTAGGTAGTTAAGATACTCCAGGGGGTACTTTGAGTCACTGATCCCGTCTTTGTGCTTGGCAGCTGGCTCCTCTCGGGTCTACGGGACACAGCTATCACGCGAGTGCCTAACTCAGCATGCGTGTGCCCTGAAGAGACCATGTCAACGCTGCCTTGCTTTTAAATGCTGCCAAGGTTGATACAGCTATATAAAAAGGATGATAACGTTTGGTTGGTGCCCAGATAGTTTTAGGCTTTTATATACACACACGGAGGAAAGGCTGGTTAGCCTGGGAGGGCTGTTTCAGATCAAGTGCTTCCTGCCACGTGTCATTTGCTGAACTTTGCCAGAAGTTAGAACAGAGTATTCAAAAGAGGAGGGGAGGAGAAGACCCCCGTGAGGCAAAAACACCTTGCAAAGTAACTGATGGCCCGCGTCTGGGGGTCTGATCCCCGTCCGGGCATGGCTCCACGGCCTGCTTCCCTGCCACGTGGATTAGGAATTAGGGGAACCACTACAATTCAAGTCTCTCCGATGTCTGCCCCTCTCTTCTTGAGAAGCTCATTCCCTACATCTTGTTCAAACATGCAGGGCATTTTTTCTGCTGCCTCTTCCCAAGGGTGTTAGTGACCCAGTTAAACTGTCACCACTAACAGACCCCGTCAGGAACAAGCCCTGCTTGCCCTGAGTTTGGGACCAGAGCATCCTTTCGTTATGAAAGTGCTCTAACCACATGAAGGCCCTCGGACCTGGGTTAGGAATGTTTTTATTTTCCAGAGTGAGGAATACGTTGAAAATGGTATCCAGGGGCCGATGGAGTAAGATAGTCTATCTTGAATTCCCCTAGAAATGGAGATGGGTGTTTCTTGATGCCGCTCTATCAACATGAACACCAGCTCTCTGGCCATGCGCGCTTGTGGGGTGCTCGTGGAGAGCGGTGGGTTTCAGAAAAGGTCATCTTACTAAATCACATGCTTATTTTTGAGGTGAGGGAACTAGGTGCACGGATATTAGTTACTAAAGTGGGGACAGCCACCGTGTGTGACAGAAGGCACTAAAACTCAGGCACACGGGCTCTGACCCAGCAGCCTGTCCTCTGCCCTGCCTCTTTGGCAGTTGGGAGGCAGGACTATTTTTTTAGTGGAATGTTAATTCAAATATTTATAATACAGCCCAGCCGAGGTGGCTCAGTGGATTGAGCATCATCCCAGGGACTGAGAGGTCCCCGTTCCATTCCGGTCAGGGCACATGCCCGGGTTGTGGGCTTGATCCCCAGTAGGCAGCCCGTCCATGTTTCTCTCTCACATCGATGGTTCTATCTCTCTCTCCCTCCCTCTCTCTCTAAAAATGTCAATTAAAAGACCATTTAAAAATATATATACTTATTTTACAGATATGGTTTCAGACTTCATTCACACTAAAGTACATACATATTTCTTTCACCACTAATCAAAGGGAAAGTTCTCTTACATTGTCTAATTTAGGCTCCCAAAAGTGAGTTGAGTTTGAACAAAGTTATGTCCAGCATTTTAAAGCAAATTTCTTTAAATTTTATTAACTGAACCCAGAGTCACTCACCAATAATTTACACCAGTTGGATGTTCAAATTGGGTAGAATTGTATTGTCTTTCATGTTGAACGACTGTCCCTTCCTTAGAAACATGTGTGGCTTTAGACGTGGATGGAATTAGGGGGGTGGCAGTAAAAGAGAAAAATATTACATTTGCCAGGAAATGAAGACTTTCCCAGTATATGCTTATACCAGCCTTCATCCCCATCGACCAGAGTCTATGTGTTGTATTTCCAAGATATTTAAAGCCCCTCTGGAAAATGTAGAGGCAAGAGGTGAAAAAAAAAGGAGTTTCAGTAAAAAAAGTTAATTTTATTACCTTCTGATGTTGGATGAAAACACAGTGTAGGTAGTCAGAACTAAAGGGGCAGCTTTCCACAATCCATACCCCGCTCCCTGCCCCCAGTTCTCCAGAGGAGATGGTTCCCCAGCTGGGTCCAGCGGAAGCCAGACCTGCAACCTTCCAGGGTTTGGCGGAGGATCCCTGCTAGTGGACAGGGGCTATACTGTGGAGCTCAGTTTGAGTCCCATGTCCAAACTTGGAAGAATCATCAGTATTCTGCAGTTGTATACCCCAAGGCCTCACAGGGGCACCTAGCCAAAAAGCTTCACTTCATCTGAATAAATTAACAGTTATAGGGTCCAGCTGTATTTTCAGGCTGACTTGTTAAATATTGGCTGTAGAAATTCTTCGGGGCATGATATTAGGCTACAAAGCTTTGTGATGTGATCTGGTCATAAGCACAATCTGCAAGCTCCCTACCCTTCTGTAAGGAACAGCATCAACCCGCTCCACTTGGGGGTGCAGGGAAAGGAGCGGTGCAGAAGGGGGGAGCCCCCAAGAGACATGAAGAGCTCAGGGAGAGTCTCTCGATGGTACCAATGCAAGCAGAGCCCTGGGAGAAGCTGGCTTCTCCGTCCGGCATGGATCTCAGCCGTTTGCTCTCATATAACAGATATGATTAAACACATTTAGTACGACAGAACCACAGTAAGTTCCTTTGCAGGAAACAGCAGAGAAAAACACAAAACAGGGTCCTGATGATTGACTCTGCAGGAGGCAGAGTAAGATCCCTGATCAACTTTTACAAAAGGAGGAAGAGAGCCCCCTCAACTCCCTCCCAGGACAAAGTCTGTTTGGAGCTCTTGGTGGTGCCAAGAAGCAGAGAAACAAAGAGAATCCTCAGCAGGACAGCAAGGACTCTAGTCGGGGTTTCGGAAGACTGTCCCACGGAGGCAGAAAAGACCCGGAGGCTGTGGGCGAAGCAGAGCAGGGCCCGTCCTCAGCCCCGTGGCCTCCCCTAGTGTCTTGCCGCAGAGTGGCTCAGGGCTCACATGAGCTAAAGACACATTACGAATGAAGGAGCCAGCGCAACCCCAGGTTTCCAGTGTTTATCTTCTTACTCTAAGACACTCAACTAGCCAAATATTGTCAAGGAGCTGTAAAGGGTTGTGTCTGCAGAGACCAACAGGATATCTGCCTGTCCAGCACCAGCCGATGCCTCCGGGCAGAGCTAGGCTCAGCACCCAGCTCATTCATTCCATGACTTACACCTGCTTCGACCTCGCCTCCAGCCCTCGCAGGGTCTGCATCCCTGCCGGGAAGGCTAGCAGTTGAATTGGGGTTAAGGCTTCGACCTAGTAATGACAACTTACATGAAAGACATACATGTTGTCACTTTTACCATAGAGACGATGGACAAGACCCATCTGAAGCCTGTTTGCCCAGTGGAGCTGGTGTGTGTCAGAATCCCTCAGAACCATCTTCAGTAAGCCGTGACCAGTGCGTTCCAGTCACCGCACCACCGGAAATGCATTTCTTCTCACATGCAACTCAAGGAGCCGAGTTTCACTTACAACCAGAGGTTGCGTGGAAGTCAAAGGGGCTCCCTAGGACGCTCCAGTTGTGTGCCCCTCTCTAGGGACGGACATGCCTCCCCCCACGCACCATCATCCCAGGAGTAAAGTAGCAGGACTCAGCCTGGCTCGAGCTGGGCCCCTTACCTAGCCCTGCGAGCGGTCCCACGGGGGCAGAAGCACCGGTTTTGAAGAGATCTAGAGGGTTGGTCTGTGGGGCTGCAGGTTGTCCCGTAGGTGACGTCTGGCCTGGGGCTTCTGAGTCCGGAGGAGCAAAGATGTCTGATGTCAGCAAGTCATTTGCTGGAGACTGACAGCGCAGAGGAGGACATAAAGGAATTACTCAGCAACAGAGAAAAATGCAGCTGCATTCTGCCTCCTACTCTGCACCTCAAATTCGGGAACCACAAGAAGAAAAACTATCGCCTATTACTGATAGACTACTACGATAAAACAACCAACCAACCAACCCCAAAAGACAAGGATCCCTGCAAGGGGGAGAAGGTTGGGTCTTGGACTCTCAAAGTGAAATCTAATTGACCTATTTACACATTTGTATCCGTCTGGTCTCCTTCTCAGCTAACAGCTTGAAGCTGGGAAAGAAGGGACAACTATAAAGAAGTAGCATAAATATCTGTGGTCACTCCAGCAGATCTGAATCAGTCTGCATAATGTCGCTACAGTAGGCTAATCATTAAGCCAGCCTACATATTCCAACGAGATTATAAAAAAAAAAAAAAGCTTATAGAAACCACATTTTAAATTGCTTTTGAATGAAGTGGTCATAGCAAATACATGTTTCTTTTAAGATCATGGATTATTCTGTCAACTCATGATAGAGAAGACAAACTCAAGAGTTTTACACCACCACCTTGGGCGCAACGCAACATGAGGGGTGCGTGCGGGCATGCGTCAGTGTGGGCGAGGTCTGTACAAAGGGGATCATGAGAACCCTTGCCCTCCGCTCCCAGAACGTGACCATCAAACTTACCAGAGGTACAGAAGCATAGCAGCATTGAAAATGGAAAAAAAACAACGTGTGTTTAGTTAATAATAAGAGACAAGACATGCAAACAGAAAGCAGGCCGTGACATACTGCCAAGTGAGAAGCTTTGCGAGGGGGCGGTTAGAGGAACGTACTCCTGCGGGGCCACCAGCCTCATCCCGCCTTCTGCTTTACAGCCACACGGGAAGCTACAGAGCAGCAGCAAAGACAGCTGGCATCACACCACCCTGTGAGAGCGAACATGCATTCTGCCAACGGACATGCGGAGACAATTCACCTTGGCAGTCCTTCTGCCTCTTCCTGGTTTGGTACTTTGTGGAGGTGGGATAATGGCTATGGAGTCATGTGCTGAGGACTGGACAGAGCTCTCCAAGTCCTGCTTTACGCCATTGGGTACAGGCAGTCCTTTGGGAGGGCTTCCCACGAAAGGGTTCGGGGAGGATTTGATAGGGAAGCCGTTCTGGTCTCTTTCTGACACCCCATTCTGAGTTCTCACTGCTGGCTGGGGCCACGGGTCTGCCTGAGCTTCCTGTTTGCCAGTCCGGTTAGAAATCTGGTCAAACTGCTGACCAAAGTAATCAACATCCCCGTTCAGGGGCCCATTGCTCAGCGGAGTAGACAAGCCACTCAAATGCTCTGTCTTCTGATCTGGAGATTTGCGAGAATCAAACGAAGCGGGTGGTGATTGGTCCTGCTGCGCGAAAGGGTCGTCGCGGAAGGGGTCGGGGTTAGGGGTCGGAAAGAAGTTGAGATTGGCAGAAAAGGCATTTTCGGGCAAGAAAGACGCCTGAGGCTTTGGTCGAGGAAGAGAGGAGGAGGTGATGCCGTTTGTTAAGAATGAATTTTCTCTTAAAGAATTCTGATTGGTGTTGATTTCAGAGTTTAGATCCACTAACAGGATATCTTTGCTTTCCTATCACATTTGGAAAGAAAAAAAAAAGAAAGAAAGAAAGAAAGTGTTAGTCCATGTTGTGAATTCAAATGAGAAAGCTACATAAAATGACCAGGGTCATTAAATTCCCCTTAGACTTTGGTCTTGACAAACCCTTGACCAGGACCTCCTCCCATCACCTCTGTGAGGGCATTTGAACAGGTCCTCCCTGCCCCCCCTCCCCCGCGCCCTTTTACTTATGTCTCAACTCCACTGGCCCCTTATTAGATGACATCTTCCTGGTGTTTACTCTATTCATGTCACTGCTCACCCTTAGCAGCTGGCTGAGTTCATGGTCATTGTTTCAATTCAAATCTTTGAAAGTCTTAAAGGGAATTGACTGTGAGTTACTCCAAATGATTATCTAAGTGTACGGAGCCTGAAAGTAAGACTTGACCTCAGAAGCCTTGCCCAGTTTCCTACCTGATGTCCAGTCCCTTCAACTGTCCCCCCAGTTACGCGACGTCACCTCTCTACATGAGCAAGTTTACTGGCTAAGACATTCATAGTTTCAGTTCTGGCTGCAATGAAGTTTAAGGTCAAATATATCTCCTAAAATTGGTCTTTCCTTGAGGGGGGGTTCCCCTCACATCACTGCCTGTTACGTATGCTTTTTTAAATGTTTAAGGTACTTTTAGAAAGTGCTAGCCAGTTTAGATCTCTCGTCCGCATCTAGACTCTCCTCTGGACACACCCTTCTGTCTGTCTCTCTGAGAAAGTGATAACTCCAAATAGTGATATAATGTAACACAACATTACATGAACCTCTCATTTTTGTGCATTTTTTATAACATAGCTTAAGAGTTGCTTGTGTTGTAACAGTAATCTCATCTATTTAGCAGATAAATTTAACTAATCTTTAACTTATGTATACTCTAATCTTTAATGTATGTAGAAGGTGGAGGAGATGTGGGTTTAAGATTAATTGGAAAGACATATCAAATGTATAACTCTACAAATTCTATCCCCTTTCAATTTCTGGTGTGTTAATTACTTGGGTCCCAGTAACTAGACAAGACATCCTTCTCAACAGAAGAGCAGCAAACTGGTTAATCTGCCATGTCTTTATCGCTCATTTGTCTCCCCCCTGGGGTTGGCTGTCGCACCGACAGACCTTCTCCCGACTGACATCGATCCATTACATTCTTCACTGTGCCAATCACAGAGAATATAAACTACAAAACACCTAAGAAATGGAAGTTGGAATTCTACTATTACCCTGAATAGATTACTAAATACTTTGATCCTTGAGACAAAAACAACCTTAAAGGAATATATAATTCTCAAAAGTCAAAAGGAGGCCTGATGAGGCCTCTTTGGTTTTAAGAGGAAGGGACACATTTTTAAGAAGTTTACCCTAAATCAGACCTAATTGGCATTCTATCTTTTGGCTTCCTCGACTGTTAGGTATGAAACACAATGTTTAAAAACCAGCTTGTCTTTTTATAACCAGAAGAATTTGTCAGAAGAAAGAACCTGTCATTAAAAAAAAAAAATTTTTTTTAATCAAAGAAATAGATTGGAAGAACTCTTAATGTGGGGATCTTTAACAATCAAGCGGTAGGAAAAAATGTATTACGAAAGCTTGTGATTTCAATATTTATTCATTTATTAGGAGCCACCTCTGGTTAGAACAGTTGGGTATTCACAGCTGGTAGAGTTCTCCTTTGCAAATACTTCAGAAGGAGTTCTTAGGACACCAAACAGGAGCCACAATGTTAGACTTCTGAATAGTCAGCCTACAAGTAAAATGTATAAGGCTCTCCTCAGGTCAGGTTTGCTGTTCATTCAAGATTAAGAGTCTAGTTCATAAACCACAGCTGAAAGATGCAAGACGCCTCGTCCACCCCTAGGTCAGAGCTTCAGGAGCTCTTTGGTGGACGTCAGTACTGCACCTACTCGGCCATCGTTGGAGGACCCGAGAGACCAGCGCTGGCCACGTGACAGTAAAACACGGTCCCTGCTCGTAAGGAGCTCAGCAGGAGGGCAGCAGGCAACCGAAGTGGCGTCTGAGCAGCGGCAAGGTCTTCCGTACTGAGCTCCATTGCCTGCTCCCCTCCAGCTAGCTGTGCCCCCCGACAGCCGCCTGCCGAATCCTGGCCTTCCCTGTGCAAAGCTTGTGGTGTCTCCCTGCTACTCCCTCTATGAAAATAAGCTTCCTTAGCCAGACTTTCAAAATGGCCCACAAGGGGACTCAGTTTACTTTTAACCTAACTAACCACTCTCGATTTCCCTACGCACTTCAAAGACCCAACTCAAGTTCAGATATTTACAAAGCCCCTTCCCACTGATCGTCTATTTCAGCATCACTGGTGCCCACCCAAGGCATCTTACTCACAGAACACTGTGCCCCGATCCCACCCCTGCACCAGACTTAACCTCCTTGCTGGAGGACCACGCCTCGTGTTCTTCTCAGAATAACCGTGCTTTTGAATGGTCAACATTTTCAAGTTGGCGCATGTCTTTTTTTCCCTTTTCTTCTGTTTTTTGTTTGTTTGTTTGTTTTTGAAACCAGTGTGGAAGGTGCTTTCCAATAAAAATTACATTCTAAGAAATGCTACTTAGTTTGCAACATGAGCTTTATTTAAAATGTATAAAACTATTTTGTATAAATGTTGTGGGAGGGGCAGGGCACAACTAATAAAGTCTAGGTAATTTAGATTTCTTCCTCTCTTCATCTCTGTCAGAGCAATTATTGTAAGATTTGAATACTTTTATTTTTTCCTCAGCTGAGAACATTTTTGCATTTATCTTCAGATAGAGCGGGAGGGAGAGAGGAAAGAAGAGAGAGAGAAACATCAATGTGAGAGACACATTGACTGGCTGCCACCCACATGACCCCAACTGGGGTCGGGGACAAACTGCAACCAAGGTACATGCCCTTAGTGGGAATCCGGGACTCTGTGGTCCGCAGGCGACACTCTAACCGCTGAGCCAAACCGGCCGGGGCAGATTTGAATATTTTTAAACGTGCTGGTTTCATCAAGTAGAGCTACATCTATTTTGTGACCGATGAGTATGTTCAATCTGTAAGAACTGGCTGGCCAAGTCTGACCAGCACATAATTAGCTGTGCTAGGATTCTCTTACTCATCAGATGCCATCTACTTGGATGGTATTTATTGTTAGTTTAACTAAAACTTGAGTTTTATTTGATAAACCAAACATTCTTAGAATGCATGAAGTCTAATGTCAATAAGGCTCAGGATGACTCACGTTGCTTTTCATTTCCTTTCTCAGAACTTTCTAGAAAGCTACAGAAGCAGATGAAGCAGTCAGTGCTTCCTTGTCTATCCCATGGAAAATCTACTTCATGGCTTGAGTGCTTCGATCTCTTTTAAGAAACTTGTTTGAATGTCAGTTATACTTAGAAGGTGGGCTGTTCAGACATCAATCTACTCTGGGAAGGGGGCTCCTGAAGGAGGAGGGGTAAAGGCTTCAGGGCCAGGAGGGACCTTCCAGGGCTGTCTAATCCAGTATTTCAAAAAGTACGTCCTTGGAGCGGTAACAGACACTTTGGAGTGAAAGTTCTACAGACGAGTAAGGACTCACTGCTAAAACAGCAGGAAACAGGCTTCTCCTCAGGCTTTTCAGGGCCTCTGTACGCTGTTATGCGCGGTGGATCTCAGGGTTGGGGGTGAGGAGGGTGTCGGCAGCCCCTGCCCCTTCCACCTCCTGGGTGTGGGCACTGCATGTGAAATTTCATGGGCCTGGAATTCTCTGCAATGCCCTGGGACCAGTGACACTTACCAGTCCTCGATCTGCTGTGGCTTTGATTCCAATGACCTTCGTGGTCATAGAGGCTTGCTCGGTAATCCCCTGATCTAAATCCCCTGTCCAGATTCCCAGAGACACAGTGATGTCCTTTTTGTCTGGTTATTGCTGTCTTATCTCTTATGTTCAAGTCCAGAAACTCAGAGCTACTAGCTGACTCTAAAACTAGACAAATACCCGATAATTAACATCTACTAATATGCTTTATAACTGGTTTTAGCGTTGGTCTCCCTGCTAGACAGTACGCTTCATGGTGTTATTGACATTGTGCATCTCACTGTTGTGCTCAGCGAATAGCAGGTACTCAAGAAACTGTTAAATAAATAACAGAAGTTGTAAGAAGCCATTCAAGATTACATGGGTAATTTCACTTGAGGCCTGTTTGGAAGGTCTGAGACTTGTTTTTTTTCTGTTGAATTTGAACCTCTTTCTTGGGTAAATGAGTCTTTTTCCTGAACCACCATTTTCTTATCTGTAAAGGCAAATATTGCTCTGTTCTCACAGAGTTTTTACAGTTTTTACAGAGTTTTTCAATATTAAGAAGATTTGATACACTACAATATTCTATAAAAAATGAGAAACTTTCAAAACATAACTGAGCTTCGTATTTAAGTCTTACTTCACACCAGGCTTATGCTAAATCACAAAGAAAGAATAAAAAAATATATGGAGAGGCCAGGAGACTTGCCAGTTTATCATCTAACAAACACACTTCCTTCAAGTAAGTAGGCTTATGCCAAGAATGACTATTTGGCGCCTCTTTCTGATCCTAAGTAATACCAAGAAGGACTACAGTGCCTGACCCATTGCTCAGGTTTAACCTCTAAGCAATATTAACATGTCTGAATTACCGCTGATACATTCCTATGGTGACTTAAGATGCAAATTTGTTCTAGTAGCCTTTTACATTTTATGTAGAAAAATCAGTAGTCACTTTCCAAGTTTCAATGAGATGCTCAAGATTTCTGGTTAATTGCCAATTTGAGTCATAGATGTCATTTCCATTACATTGCAAATTTAAAAACAGACACTTACTGTTGGACTATTTAGGTCAGGAGGTGTAGACATGTCCCCAAACAAATCCATCCGGTCAACAGCCTTAAAAAAGTATTTGGATTAGATTCAAATGTGTCTACTCAAAAAGATTACTTTGTATATTGTCGTAATTGTTTCCTAAACTAAAATTTAGGAAAATAGCTGTCACAACTGGATTTTCATTTACCTAACACAGATTTGATATTGGACTACTTAGGTCAGGAAGTGTAGACAGGTACCCAAACAAATCCATCTGGTCCAAACTCTTTAAAAAGTATTTGGGTTAGATTCAGATGTATTCACAAAAAAGATTACTTTGTATATTGACATCAATGTTATACTAATGTTTAGGGAAATAGTTGTTGCAATTGGATTTTCATACAGATTCTGTATTTGCAACATCTATAGGAAGTAAAACCCATGTTCAGACAAGTCAGAATCATAAAAAGTCGCATACATACCAATTTCAGTTTGTTAGCTTGGTCATCAAGAGTCATTAGGGCCTCGCTTCCATTCTGAAAAGATGGCAAACATTTAAGGATTTAGTTGGCGAGTTTTAATTTCCTTGTGTATTGGCTTGCTAAGCAGTTATAATTCTGGCACGGATCATTCAACTCTACATCTTCTATGACCAAAAGGGCCACGAACACACAACAATAAGCCAGAAGGGGAGCATACTGGGAGGTAGCAAACAGAGGCTTATACGCATCATCACGCACAAGGCACAAGAAGAGAAGATGCACTTTTACCTCTACTGCATTGTTGGCTTCTTCCATCTAAAAAGAAAGATACACATTTAGTGATCGTAATGATTACAGTAAAAGGGAGTTAAAAAAAAGAACAAATATACCTAGGGCTTTGCAGGCATAAGCAAGAGAGACCCTTACATGTTACCTTTGCCTTATATTCCTCTCCCCATTTCACATTAATACTGGACTTGAGTAGAGCTACTGGACTTAAACTTGATAGTCCTATATAGTCTTCGGAATCAATGTGAAGCTTGTAGGGAGAAAAGACAGGAGTCAGGACCTGGAAATCAGACTGCCTAACAGTAACATTACCATTTTGGAAAGAACAGACAATACATTTCTCTACGTTCTGTACTTGGAGATCCACATAGAAATCAACTCTCCAGACAGGCTACATGTTTACATAATGTTCATGCTATGCCTGCGAAACCCTAGGTATATTTGTTCTTTTATTTAACTGCCTATTACTGTGGTCCCGAATACTGTCTTGAGCTTAATAGAACTTGTATTGGGCGGTACTTGCCTTTTTCTTTTCTTCTTCCTTTTTCTTTACATTATAGATAACTTGAAAAAGGTCTTTAAGATCAATGACTAATGGCTCAGCCTGAAGCAAGAGAAAGCATCTTTATCAGTATTTTTATCTTATTGTTTTCTCCCCTTTGTCTCGCATCAGTTCTGATTTAGAACTGTTTCATCCTTTCTCTTAAAGCTCCTTAATCCCCTCTCCTGTTTTATGGGGAAGCACCACCCCGCCCCCCGAAACAGAAAAGACAGCAGGGTTAATAAGTACTTATACTAAACAAGAAGCACCATGATACTTTCCCAAGTCCCTTTGGCATTCCTAGGGATAATTCACTATTATTCTAAAATCATCATTGACCTGTGAGAAAGCCCCTTCTAATAAGTCTTGTGTCACACACTCCATGGGAATCAATGACATTTCAAAAAGATTCCTTAGACCAATACAGATAGTCATCCTTTGAATCATTGTTTATTCCTCCTCCTATCTCCAGTTGTTTCTAGAAAGCTCTCTAGCTGAGTGACCGACACGCCTATGCTCCAGGGAGGACAAGTCTCCCTCCAGGGACACCTCAAGGCTCAGCGCTTACCTGTTGCCCTGTTTTTATGGCAAAAAACTGATGCTGGCCTTCTGCTCCACACACGTAGCCAAAGGCCCGGTTGTCCGTCACATCACGGGCAATGAATGAAATCTTGTTTACCGGGTGTTCGTGCTCTATCACCTGAAAAAGGGATAGAAAAAAAGTTATTTGCCGGGAAAACTAGAATCTATTTGTAGGCTAGCGTGACTAAGCATCGGATACAGGAAAAGGCCAAAAGCATTGGAAGAAGAAGTGTTCTCTGGTGGAAGCTGAAGTTCATTTACCCTTGTCAGGAAGGGCAGCAGGAACAAAGAGTGGAAAACAGAAGTGGGGAGAGCGCTCCTGTTTGAAATATTGAAACTTGCATCGCTCTACCCTAAATAAGCGATGCTGCAGGGCAACGAGGGACCAGGACTGGGGGACCAAGGCGTTCCCAAGTGAAGATGGGACGGGACACAAACGATTCCAAGCAGGTGTCCTTTCCCAAAGCAAAGACACAATCAAGTGACCGCATAAGGAAGGGAATGGAGTTTCACAGGGTCCCTTTGACAATAGCTCGGAGTGGCCAGAGCACAATTACCTAGGTATTATTGGACCAATTATCCCCAGTGCATTCTGGAAGTTACCAAATGCTCTTCTAAAGTACTTCTTACCCTCACTTAGATATCAGCGTCATTATCCAGGAGTTACCTGGGGCAAGGGTTAGTAGAGCCCTCCCTTCAATTCCCCTGCCCCCTCTCTTGGTCCTTTCAAGCAATTAGCAGGGCTCAACTCTTCAGGGGTATCTGTAGGTGTTCAGAATGCGTCTTGGCTTTTGTTCCCAAATGCCTGAGGCCACTGCAAAATTGATAATGGGAATCTTAGGAGGGTTGGGAGTGAGGGCGACTTTGTGAGGAAAACCTGCCTACCATCCTCTTGATGAGCTTGGAAAGATAAGACTTGAGAGATGAGGGAGAATGGGGACAGCAGGTGAGTGAGCATGTGCAGGGTTCCAGGGCCCTAAGTTCAGCCACGGGATTTTGCATATTAGATAAAGAATACCCCAGGAAAGGGATGAATAGTAACTGGAGGTCTCCCCACAGTACCTTGATACAACTGAGTATTTCACAGCAATGAAAAGGAACTACAGACACTGTAAGTGGATGAATCTGGAGTACAGGAAAAGAGAAAGTCCCAGAAGACTTGAGATATGATAGCTTTCCGATAAGGCTCAGTACGCAAATGAACAAGACTGTTCATATGTTGGAAGAACAACAGCGATCACAAAAAATGATCAAAGTTACAACTGTGGGGTGAGGAGGAAAGAAAAAAAGAAAAGAAAACAAAGTGGTAGCTGTGTGATAGGTAATATTCTCGCCTTAGGTTAGCCAGTAAGTTCACATGTGATCAGTACAGGGTGTGGCAAAAGCAGGTTTATAGTTGTGAATACTCGTATTATTATTTATTATTAATACAATACAACTATAAACCTACTTTTCCCCACCCCTATATATTAAAATGAGACCCATGCATAGACCTACAATAGCATCATAAACCAGAGGTTAGAATTAATCTAGTTCTTGTACCTGGGGTCCAAAAGAATACCCAAATGATATTTATAGCTTACCTGTGTTTATAGACTTGACACATATATTAGAGGAAATAAATGTCAAAATAAAGTATCTTGACTCCTCACCTCCTACCCTTTTTTCCGCTTTCACTTCTGGAGAAGTAATATACACTATTTTTTTTTTCCCTGCAGAATTTTGAAATGGAAAACAGGGGAGCTAACATGTAGTTGCATATTGCTTGTTAAATTCAGATGGTCAGAAAGGTGTCACGAACGTGAATCCTTACCCCAGTTTTCTCATCAATTATTTTTATCCCGGACAGGGAAATGTTGACCCAGATCCTTTGCTTGTGTTGTCCCTGAGACCGACCAGCTGCCGCCATACCCTGGGGAGGTGGAAAACAAGGAAAACATCGTTGAAAGTATCCCACAATGCTTCTGACGCTAACAATTTAAGAGACAGCATTGTTTCAGCTTCCTTTACCGTCTGTGAAAGGCTGAGGCCCCCTTCGTAGGAGACCAGGAAGGCATAGAAGACACTGAGCCAGGACATCACTGGTTAGCTCTGTGAACTTGGACAAGTCATTTTAATTCTCTTGGCCTCAGAACATCACTGGTAAAGATAAGCAGACTAGACTAGAAGATCTTCAAAATGTCCCTTCTAGGCCTTGTCTTATTTAATAAGTACTATTTAATTCGCTTCCCATAGTGCCAGCACTGGAATTTAGAAATTCAGGAATCCAGAGGGCTAACACTGAAGAACACGTTTCCAAGGAGAGCCCTGAAATATGATCTGCCCAAAGGGAAAGGCACGTAGGGTCCTGCTATACTAGAGCAACACTCAGAATATGCAAATTCATGGCTACTCATAAAATGATGTCCCATTGGATCAATTATGTGATTAGAAAAGCTTTACTTTCAAAGCACTGACATATAGGTAACTACACAGTTCGAATATAACCCCCTCTGTTGGAGACAGAGACCAGGCCTGCTCTCTGCCCTTTACCTTTAGTTTCATCATAGAATCTTGGCTCATCTTATCTCCTCTTGCATCTGGTACATCGTCAATGCCAATTAACTTGGCCTTGTATTTCACACCATCACCTTTGAATCTGGCCAAAAGATACTCATCTGTCTTTTCTGAGCCTGAGAAAAGAAAGAAATATAGGATAAAGTTTATAAGTTTATTTAAGTATCAGCCCAATGTATCACTAAATATGATCCAGAATCTCCAAACCGGAGTAGTATAAGTCGTGGCCATACTACAAGAGACTAAATGTATAGTATTATATCTGTATTCTCACTTCCGTTGAGTGAACTCATGCTCTGTAATACTGTGTATGATGTTGGATGGAGAGAAAATAAAATCTTAAAGGTGCAAAATGGGCTGAATTACGGGAAACTGGAAATATGTGAGGTAGGACTTGGGGATACTTATTAGAGTTTTAAAAATATCTTTTAAAAGAATATAAGGAGGATAATGCTTTAAAAATTATTTTTTTCTTTATTGATTTTTAGAGACAGAGGAAGAGATAGGGAGAGAGAACATCGATTGGCTGCCTCCTGCATGTCCTCCACTGGGAATTTGGTCCACAATGTGGGCATATCCCTGACCGGGAATTGAACTGGCAACCTGTTGGTGCATGGGCTGACACTCAACCACTGAGCCACACTGGTGGGGTGCTTTTGTATTTTAATAAAAGGAAAATAAGGTACCACACAATGCACTAACATTTTGAATGGTAAATTGGGCAGAAGGGGATTAAGGGTACATGTCTGAAAAGCATTTGATAATTATTGCATCTTTATAACTTCTTTTGCTTCTCTTTAAAGGCCTGTGCAGTCTCCTTCCCATCGCTAAGGTGTGGACGCGAAAGGTAAGCAAGTCACGGGACATCCTCAAACTACGACTGATGAAGGACTCTGGCACTTTCTAGCGGTACTTCAGATCAAGAAAGAGGGTCGAATAAAATAAAGATCTTGATTTTTAAAAACAGCGAAGTGGTAAATAGGTCACTGAAAGATAACCATGTGGTCACTGAGAGACAGCTGCAGTTATCAACTGAACAAGACGGTAGGAGAGTTTCCTGGCAGCACCCACGTTGGGGCAATCACGAGATTCAGAGACATGTCTTATATGTGGAGTGAACCAAACTGTAATCTCTTGTCTAGGACTTGACACTGGGCCAAGGTTGAAGCAAAGCCAGAGCCAGCTCTTACTTTACCCCAAGCTTCTCATTTCTTCCCAGGTCACTACCACTAGCTCCTCTCATTGGCCTCAAGAGGATTTCTCCATACCTTTCTTCTTTTCCTTCTTCGATGGTGCTTTTGGTGCAGCCTGTTGGTCAGGCTGACCATTAGTTGTACTTGTTTCTACTTCGTTAGACATGGCAAGAAGGCAGACAGCAGACTCCAGCACCAGCAGACACTTAGTGACACCAGGCGATCCCTGATGGAGAAGTCTCAAATGAACATAACCGACTAGACACCTGTAGGCAGAGTTTAGAGGCGTAATGAGATCATAGCACAGCAAACCCAGACTTTATGCCATAACAGGCCTACAACTGGTGATAAGTGAGTGTAGTTCTTCAGACTCATTTTGTTCTTTCTCCTCTATTAGACTGAACTGTGAAAGCAGGGGATTGGGAAGTGTTTCCTTTGTAGTTTCCAAAATGGAAAGAAAGTGTTCACCGGAAATTCTCTTTAATCAGTTGGTATCTGGTAACATTTAATGATTATTCAGCTAACTAGTTAGTGTTGGATCTTTGACATAAAAATCTAGTACAAAAGATAGACATCAAAATGTATCACCGAGAAAAAAAAGATTTCATATCAAAATAGAAATACATTGAATGCTGAGCTTGAGAGAAATGCAATTGGCATGGGAAATTGGGTATTATAAATTCTGGCTCTTCAAAAAAATTATTTAATTGTAAAGGCAGTGTCAAGAGTAGAGTTATAAATTTTATCTTATTCATATTTTTAAAAATGTTAGGATTCTGCACATGATTTCCAGGGCTGTCTAAGCACCTCTAAAAGACGTCCATTTTTGACATTAACACTTACAGGTATCAGGAAGAGAATGAAATTATGGGGTGTCTGTTGTACAGTTAATTCACTGAGTATAAATACTTTTATGCTATTATTTAGCGTTACTATCCTAACACAGTTGCGATATGTGTTCTCATAAAGCTCCCCATGTATCACAGTAGGTAAGACAGAAATTTGCAGTCATTGTAAGCACATGGAAGTGAATAATATTTCAAAAGGTTCTTTTACCTCCCAGGAGTCAGAGTTTCTATACTGCTCCTGAGAGAGCTAGAGACAGGTTAACTTCCTACATGGACTGAAGACCAAAGGCAAAGGACAGCTCCTCATAATTCTGTAATCCTGTTGGAATCACCCATGGGCTGGTGGTACACTCTCCCAACCCAAAAGGCCCTCTTAATTCTGTGCCAATAGCACCCATTTATTTGAGCTTTTAAATTCAAGGACCAAGTCTACCACATGAGAATATGTGATATTTGTTAGATAATTAAAGGACAAAAATGAATTTCAAATTTTTGCTCAATGAGCTTCAGTTGCACTTACTTGCTGCATGAATGTCAACCTGTTTTCCTGAAGGTCAGTACTGAATGTTCCCCCCATGAGTTTTTTTTTTTTTTGTTTTTGTTTTGCTTTTTTTGTCTCCTTATTGATTTTATTTTATTTTATTTATTTATTATTATTATTTTTTTTATCCTCACCCAAGGACATTTTTCCATTTTTTGTACAGACAGAGTGGGAGGGAGAGAGAGAGAGGGAAACATTGATGTGAAAGGGACACATCGAGTGGCTGCCACCCGCACGACCGACCAGGGCCGGGGACAAACTGCAACCGAGGTACATGCCCTTAGCGGGAACTGAACCCGGGTCTCTCCGGACCGCAGGCGGACGCTCTAACCGCTGAGCCAAACCGGCCAGGGCTCCTTATTGATTTTAGAGAGAGAAGAAGAGAGAGGGAGAGAGAGATAGAAATATCAATCAACGAAAAGAACATCAATTGGCCACCTCCTGCATGCCCCACACTGGGGTTCGGGCCCACTACCTGGGCATGTGCCCTGACCGGGAATCGAACCAGCAACCTCTTGGTGCATGGGTCGATGCTCAACCCCTGAGCCACACTAGCCGGACCCCCTCATGAGTTTTTAAATAATCCTTATAGTCTTAAAAACACATACATAGATAAATGCATAAATCTATGTATGGTTAATATTATCTGAATTATTTAATTTGGAGATTTACTAGTTAGTTTTGTTCAAAGATTCCTGACTAGTAGGGGGCCAGAGAGAAGTCTCTGCACATTGATGTCTTATTCAATAGATGACTCAAAAGGATTTTTTACTCAACACTTCTTTGGGGGCCAAGCACGATCAGCCTTTTACCTATATTAACTCTAAAAAATTTACAGTAACCCTGAATATTAGGATACAGTGTTTTTTCACTTTTCCTGAGGAAAGCCAAGCACAGAGGTTCTAACCTACACAAATGCAAATAGTAGAACCTAGGTCTAGCCCAGGCTGTTTGGCTCCAAGCCAGAGTTTCTCAAATGTGACACTGATGGATTTCATCTGAGAAATCAATGTGACACTGATGGATTACTAGTGACAGAGAGCATGCGCTATTATACACTTATAGTGGCCCCCAAAAGATATGTCCAGTTCTAACACCAGGGCCTTTCCACGGGGCCCTATTTGTGAAAAGGGTATTGGTAGTTGTAATTAAGGATCTTGATTTGGGATCATCCTAGATCTAGGGAGGACCCTAAATCCCATAACAGGTGTACTTATAAAAGAAAGGCAAAGAGAGAGTTGAGACATACAGACACACCAAGGAGAAGTTGATAGAAAAACAGAGGTGGAGATTGGAATGATGATCCTAAAAATAAGGAGTGCCAAGGATTGCCAATGTCCACCTGAAGCTAGGAGAGAGGCACATTATGGTTCTCCTTCAGAGCCTCCAGAACAAAAACCCTGCTGACATCTTGATTAGGGTTTCCTGGCCTCCAGGACTGTGAGAGAATACATTTCTGTGGTTTTATGCCTCCAGCTTTTGGTCATTCATTATGGCAGCCCCAGGAAACTAATCTAACACCTCTATTTTGTATGCTTTGATTGGTTTCAGTGGCTCCCATGATTTGTTTCCTGGCAATATATGTCTCCCAGTTATATCCATGCTCTTCCAATTTCAGGAAGCTGATAATCATTTTCTTAATTTCAGAGAATTTATTACAATTCAAGGGATATTACCCACTTTAGCTGCGTCACGAGGTAAGACTAAGTTCTGATCCAAGGAGATTGACATTGACATTCATCCTTCTGCATCCTTACCTTCTCCCCAGTGGGATATTTCAAATAAGGAAAACAGTTCTTGTGACCCTATTGTCCTCTTATTATCATCTCATGATCCTTTCATGAAGAAACATCTAAAATAGATGGTGCAGGGAGAAGGTAAATGCAATATTGCCTCCTCCCACAAGCACATCAGAATTACAACTAAACTACAGAATGACCATCATTTAGAACCACCTGAAATCAAGCTGAATGGAAGTCCTACAACTACAAAATTAAAGAAGAAGCCACATCAAGACTGCAATCAAAACTCAATTACAACTGAAGGGTGTAAAGTCCACACAAGAGGTGTACCTCGAGGGCCCAGCTGGGAGGCAAGGGAGGCTGTGCCACTGGATCCTACAGGACACCAACAACAATAGGCCACCTAGGAAGCCTAAGAGACATAGCAACTCAACCTAATACATAGAAACAAACACAGGGAGGCAGCCAAAATGAGATGACAAAGAAACATGTCCCAAATGTAAGAACAGAACAAAACTCCAGGAAAAAACTAAGTGAAATGGAGATAAGCAATCTAATAAATGCAGAGTTCAAACATTGCTTATAAGGATGCTGAATGAACTTAGTGAGAACTTCAACGCCCTGGCCGGTTTGGCTCAGCGGTTAGAGCATCGGCCTGCGGTCTGGAGAACTTCAAGGAACGTAGTGAGGACATCAAGAGCATAAAAAAGGACCAGTCAGAAATGAAAGAGACACTAACTGAAATAAAGAATAATTTACAGAGATTCAATAGTAGAGTAGGTAAAGCCAAGAAGCAAACCATCAATTCGAAATATAAGGAAGCTAAAAACACCCAATCAGAACAGCAAAAAGAAAAAAGAATCCAAAAAAATGAGGATAGTGTAAGGAGCCTCTGGGACAACTTTAAGCGTGCCAACATTTGCATCATGTGGGTGCCAGGAGGAAAAGAGAGAGAACAAAAAATTGAAAATCTATTTGAAACAATAATGATAGAAAACTTCCCTTACTTGGTGAAGGAAACAGACATACAAGTCCAGGAAGCACAGAGAGTCCCAAACAACATGAAACCCAAGGGGCTCACACCAAGACACATCATCATCAAAATGCAAAAAGGTTTAAGACATAGAGAGAATCTTAAAAGTAGCAAGAGAAAAGCAGTTAGTTACCTACAAGGGAGCTCTCATAAGACTGTCAGTTGATTTCTCAAAAGAAACTTTGCGGACCAGAAGAGAGTGGCAAGAAATATTCAGTGATGAAAACCAAGAACCTATAACCAAGATTACTCTATCCTGCAAAGCTGTCATTTAGAACTGATGGACATATAAAGAGTTTCTCAGACAAGAAAAAGCTAAAGGAGTTTATCACCACCAAACCAGTATTATTTGAAACACTGAAGGGTCTTCTTGAAGAAAAAGATAAAAAATATGAACAAACAAAATGACAATAAGTAGGTATCTATCAACAACTGAATCTACAATCAAAATGAACAAGCAGAACAGAAACATTCTCATAGATACAGAGAACATTTTGTTGGTTGCCAGATGGGAGGGGGTGGGGGGAATGGGTGAAAAAGGTGAAGGGATTAAGAAGTACAAATTCATTGCTAGACTGACAAACCTCAAAGGGAAGGGGGATGAGGGTAGGGTGGGAAGAAATAAACCAAATAACTTACATAACCAATGGACACAGACAACAGTGTGGGGAAAGGCAGGAGGGGGGGCAGGAGTGGGGAGGAGGGGGTCAATAGGGGAAAAGGAAGAACATCTGTAATACATTCAACAATAAAGATAAGTTAAAAAAATAAATCAAATGGATGGTGCCTTTTCATATTCCCTTCCCTTCAAATGACTGTTCCCCTCAATTCTAGTTTCATAAAGTCCACTTCAGCTGTTGATGGGTCTCCTGACCAAATCCAATTACTTTGCTTTTCACCATTTTGAGTTTATCTGACTGCATGTATCTGACATCTATACCTTTCTGTGAGTTTCTTTCCTCCTACTTTTTGCTCCCATGACAACCTTGAAACACTAGTCCATGGCTTGTGTTTGCTGAATTGGGATAATCTAAATTTCTTTTTAAATAATGAAGTTATTCTAAATTTTAGAATACTGTTGGATTCTTTCCTGCTTAGTCTT